GAAGGCATGTGAAATGTTAAATTGCTGCCACGTCAGGGCTTTTGTCACGTTCGCAAGCAAGGAGTAACCATAGCAAATTGGGCGCTTAACAGTTTGGCCAATTGAATAAAAAGACGAGACAAGGACACAATATCTTGATTTCATGACGCTAAAATTGCTAATTTAGTGGAGAACAGGAAAATACTTCCCGATATTCTTTACCAATGACTGAAAAAGCTAACACGAATACATAAGTGTCGACTAAGTATACCACGAAACTAGCCCCAATTCCCAGACTTGGCAGCAAGACTAAAGCGAACTTTCACTTCGTTATCAAGACCACAATACTTGTTCAGGAGTGATGCAATGCACAGTGGAACAATGACAAGCGCATCAACAAAATGTACAAAAATGCGCCAGCCGACAGAATTCACGTGTTTCTCTGTGCATAATATTATTTCAGTTAGCGTTCATAAACAGTTCTAAGTGAAAATGATCACATGGTTTTTGATAACTTTTAAAGTGCAAATAAAGTTGGGGTGGAAGTAAAAAGATGTGGATCAGAATGAGAATGAAATCCAACTACTAGGGCTACTTGAACTCAATAGACCAGGAAGTCTTGACACCACTGTCACTAGCATTAATTAATGCAGTGATCGATTGATTAGGAACCAAGTGTGCACTTATGGTAGGTTCTGACAAGTACATACTAGGTTAATCGTTTTAGCAGTTTCATCAACATCTTGCTGTTGTTATCATACGGTCGAAACATCAGGTCAGTGGACCATGGACCAAGCGCGCTTTTGAATAATCGACCTTAAAAAAGACAGCAGAAGCAAAAACAACAAACCTATATAATACTGGTAAGGGAACAATGATCTTAACTGAATGTCTAGAGAGCAACAGGTCTGGCTACATTAGGCATGATTAACACACAAAAATTGAACCAGGTAAGTTGGTAAACCTATCGATTGATAGTTGGTATCAACAGCCAAATACACTTAGCGTCACGAGCCAGGTAAGAATAAAAAGTAAAAAAAATCAAAGTATTACTTGGGGGTTTGGTCTATGGATCTAATGTTTCGATTTAACAGTTATATCTGCGAGAGGAGCAGTAAAAAGTATACAACGACGCCGGCTTCGCAGTTTACACAACTTTACGGAATAGGGAAATTATAAACAACCACGGGTATGAAGTTTTGACACGAGTTACATGAAGCAGCATAACACGTCTACTTTGGCACATCTTAGAAGGGCATAAGCACGACTCCGTGCGTTTGCCAAGTTCAACACAAATTATATTAATGGCACTTATGAGGCTATGGCGCAGTAGCAGAAGTGCAGCTAAGCCGTTGAATACAAGCCAATAAACACTTTCTAAAGCCAGGGAGCATAACCACGACAAGGATTATTTAAAATAAACCAAGTGCGGAATGCGGCATTTCTATTCCAGGGAGAAGTACAAGCAGGCGTGTGCCGCCGAAACGTGACGTAGTGAAAAACATTCAGCGTTCAGACTACGTTTAAAAAGTCGATACTAAGATACAAAACGTCTTGCAAACCACATATGTAATTCAGCCACATCACGTGAACGACACCAAAGACCGCAAAGCATTGTGGAAATCATCGACTATTTGTTCAAATTTGGAAGCTCATATGAGCAGTGTAGTAGCTATGGGCAAAAAAAATTGTGGAAGCGGTTTGACAACATTAGCAGTGGCTATTGGCGTATCAAAACGGAAATCAAATGATCCAGATGTTAATGACTTCGCTGGACTATTTTCATAAATGCAGTTAATGGACACCTGACAACATTCTCGATTAGTAATTAGACAAAAAAATCTAAGATAAATTGATCAAACCCATTGCGAGTAGAATGTGCATTCAAGAACTGACGAGATGGATACACTAACTCCGTCCCCTAGCGCTATGTACAAATAACATGGAAACAGAGAACAAAGGTCCTGAGAGATAAGGGCATGAACTGTTACAAGTCAGGGTCTTACTAAATAACAAAATTTCAAAAACGGTGAACGGTAGGTGAAATCGACGTGCACAACTAGCGAATGAGTTCCCGGGAAAATGCAATATTCGTCAGATGCCGAGTTGAAGGGAAAATACAGACACTAACCACAAATTACACAAACATCATGCCTGTGTAGCATACAAAGTCCAAGATAAGAATACGCAAATACTCAAAACGGCAGTTAAATATTTCCAATCACGGTTTGCTCAAAATAGTCAAGGAACGTCGCCTGAATACAACGACGCAGATTGCTTCAAAAACCTAGTCGAACAGCTTAATACACAATATGCAAAATAAAATGGAACAGATACTATAAAATCACGCACACACCTGATAGAGGCAGGACCTGAGTTTCAAAATGGCAGCATCACAAGAGCTAGCCAGATCATGCCCCCTGAGTATGACTCGACATTCAAAGAGATGGAAAGTTCAATTAGACACATAATCACATTGCGAGCAAACACGTGTCGGTTCAAGCTTAGAGGGAGAAGTTGCAAGCAGCAGTGGGTTCTGCGACCTCAACGATAATCTGGATGCCTAGTCAATAAGGAACCCAGTAACTGACTGACACTATAGCCAGGTTATCAAAAAAAACATGAATTTAACACAGAACAGGCTTACAGCGATTTGACAAACAAGATGAAGTTCTATTACTCAATTTGGATAGTCAACGCAACGGTTAATCATACCCTGGAGATGTCAAAGTCTCAGATGCGGTTGGAGAAGAGACCTTTAACAACTAACTATCAACTCGGCATTTCGCATTTATTGCCTATGAAGAACCAAACACCAAAAGTTTAGTGAGTGAGCTGAGCTACAATAGGAATGGCTTATGGGCGCCAGTGGGTTGAAAATGTGTAAATGTCATTTAATTAGAAATGACCGCGCGGTATTGATGATGTTCCACTTAAAAAGCCTGGACCAGCAAACACAAATAGTATCCCGGGGTCACATGATTTGCGAGATCTACGTTAAACAGAATAGCAATAAGATTTGCTCGTTTTCTACCATTAAAAATACAAAAAAAACAAACATGTGAATGAATATTAACGCAGGTAAAGCATGATTTATGACTTGATTGTACATCGTCCATAGTAAACCAACACGCAAGCCAAACACGGTTCAAAGTGGGAAAAATTGCACGCTAAATCATTCGATTTGAGCTGACATTCCGGCTCTGGAAACGCTTTAGACACTTAACATTCATTTAAGGACTAGACCTGAACTCTATCACCAAAACGCACAAACACATAACTGGTCCTAGGGTCGCTGCCTAGTAGTGATGTCCACCACAGCGGTGCATGGGATCTGCAGCAATGAATGACTCTCAAGATCACAAACGACTCGACGCACACGCTAAAAATGTAATGAAGACGCCAACAAACACAAGATTTTCTCATGAAACCAGTCACTAGCACAAGAGACGTACTTCGTGATACCCACTATATTGACCCCTCGGGATATCACGTCGAACAAAATGACACTTAGGGCAGTGCGAGCGGGTACACTATTGGCGAAATGGACACAACGCCCATAGTCGCGACTACACGTTAGGAATGCGCACACGAACTTTTCACATTAACGAGCCAAGAATCATCCCATGTGCAGCTGGAACGCTCCTCAGGCTCTACCCATCCGACGTTTTCCTGCCTGCAAAAGTAGCAAAAATGTGCGTAGATTAGAGTTCCTTGTAGCCGACGTGAGTGGCCCCCAATAGTTTGACTTTATCGCCGAAGTTTCATAATACCAACTCGAGTAGCTTGATTGATTTTGTCACTAGTACCCCCCATGCAACAACCACAATTGCTAATCCATCGCATGTAAACACAAACTATTAAAACACGAGGAACATATAGGGAATTATTTGCCTTGATTTACCGCAGCCACAAAGCCAGAAAATTAAGTATAACTTTTCATATATGAATGCGAAATTTTCCACCACAAAACACCAGAAAAACTGTGCTTTACTCTGGTTCTGGTTGAGATGAAGGAGGGGACAATTTACAGGCTCGAATCTGAAGATCAGTCAACAAGAAACAAATTTAAAGAGTGGGATGTAAGATCTAACGTAGATCCAGGGACCAAAGTACGTTAAATACTTTCTATTCGGAAGGCATCTGAAGTAATTTACCCAGATAAACTTGGTTGATTAAGCAACAATTGATTTAACTCGCGTACGGAATCATTGTTAATCGAGTTGGCGGAAGCGAATGTGCATACATATGCAAGGAATGTGACCGCATGCGAGGACAGCCAATGGAGCGCTACTGACCAGAAAGATAATTTTTTGACTCTAACTTAATTTAACTAACTGCAATTTAACTTAATTGCAGGGTGAGAGGCGTTGACTCAACAGCATCAACTCTCTAGTTGCTGCGTCTTCAGGTTGCATCCATGGCAGGTAGGATTGGCTGTTTTAAGACAGTCTATTTGATCGAGGATACCGGACATACTGAGGACAAAACCTTTAGGCTAAAAACTTGATCGCTTTGAAAGCGTTTTACCCAACCCTATGAATGATGTTCAGGTAATCAAGCCTGAGCGGCAAAAGTGATTGTAAAGTAAAATGATTTTAGTAAGCGAACGTAAAAAAACTTGTACGTTTTCAGCATCCAAAAAGTACACCAATACATATAACTGTATTTTCTTGACACTAAAATAAAATTAATTCCTTGCCCCACCCAGGTTGAAGTACCTGGTATACAGACAAAAGCCAGTGGTGTTCCTAGAAAACAGGGATAAACCAAGCCTCGAAGTGTACTAAATGAGCACAATAACATATAACGGCCGAGGATAACGGTAAAATCAAGTGAATTTAAACCGCACGATAAACGCCCCTTTCACGTACCAAAACCGAAAAATCGCGTACACAAGTTCAAACAACGGCAAATCATGTGAAATCTGCATGTTAAAATTAATTCCACAGGCCAGAATTTCTCATGCCAATGGGTTGCACTCGAACGAAAAAGTTTTAACACTTCGTAAAATTGTGGACTCACGTATGGTCGGAGGCGCCAAGACTACTTGGTACACCAAGTTCACCGGGCTGTGTAAATGTCAGCCCCCCAGATACGTTTTGTTTGCCTTGAAGGACCGCATCAGAGAGTGGTGACTGGCCGCTGGGTGGCTCTACGCTGTGAAGAATTTTCGGTCCTGATAACTCAGTACCGGGTGAATGCGGAGCGGATGCAATTGCTGTTTCAGGTTTGGAAGTTGAACCTGCATTATCAAACGGCCTCAGTAATGGGACATTGACACCATCAATTCCAGGCTTATGGGGAACATCGGTAGCTTTTCCAATTCCCGCAGGACTTGTTGGGGGCACAAACTGCTGATCAATAATTGAAGGATCCGTCCGTTGCTGTACAGGTGGACAGGGTTGAGGAATTCGTCCATCCATAAAAACACCTTCACCAGTGGAACCGCTGTTGATACTACGCGTGAGCTGATGTCGAAGATACGCAGCAGATGGATCAGTAACACGAGGAGCGGCACTTTCCTCTGGATCTCCAGCATTTGCTTTCAAAGGTGATTTGACCGACGCAAGGGCTTGATCTGCAGAGGTTGTTTGTTGGTGATGAGAAGACCCAGAAACCATTGTGATACCCTCTAAACTGGTGCCTTCACCACCACTACACGTAATACCCTCATTTACTTCCGTTGAGTTGTTAGCAGCTGTGTGTGAGGCCATTCCAATCTGTTCAGGTGGAAGCGGGCCATCAGATGCATTTACCTTGAGGCTATGGTTCGTTATGTTCGATGACAAACGTTCCACGTGTTCTAGGAGTGCCTGGTTCGAAGCCCGCTGGCCAGAACACCAAGTGGTAAGAAGTGAAGACAGATTGTAACCCCGTAAAGCATATGCATGATAGGCTGTGAAAGCTGCCTGAAGCAAATGGAGAAGATCTGAAGACACTGAAACAATTGGAAGAGCGCTGGATAACAGTTTTTTGTCGTTCAGTGATATTCCATTTGAATGACTGTGATTATGCATGTGAGTAAGGCATTTTGATCCTAAAAAAAGAGGACAGAGTTTAACAACTGAGCCAACATGATGCCAGTTTACGAATTCTAGACACTTTAAAGATTTTGACAAGGAAAATAACTCACCGAAACTCCCAGGAACAAAACAATAGAGACATCGTCCACGCTGAAGAATTGGGTGGTTGAACGAAGTATCTACCGATTTTGTCTGGAGGTAGGATACCCAGTCAGGTACCGCTTTGAGACGACAGTCGTGAAAAGACAATCGGTTGGATCCCCACTGTTCGACAGTTTCACGTATTCGGGCCTTGCGAAAACGTGAAGCGGGTTGCACTGGTGCATTAAGCGAAGATAATGGGGTGGGTGGGATTGGGGCATCAGAAGCAGATCGGGGGTGTTCTTCATTAAATTCGCGAACAAACCGGTGTGTGGCCGTTTCAGGAAAGCCTGCGCAAACGTTTTGCTGATTTGATGGAAGCATCGAGCTAGTGACAGCAGCAGCAACAGAAGAAGGGGCACACGAATCGAATAAAGGATCCGAATGCTTGGCAGCAGAAAGCTCAGGATGATGAGAGTGTTGTTGACTACTAGCAAGGAACGATGGGAGCTTATGGGATGCTGGAGGAATAGGAGGCTCTTGAGATGTTCCGGACCCGGCCTCTGAATGAAGCCGGCGAAACATCGTCGGTTGGCTAGGCTGATGGTAAACATGTTCGCTGGCTGGTTGAGACGGAAGGTCGTAGATTGATTGTGCAACGGGTGCGTGTATTTGGGAATTTGAAGAAAGTCTCAATTCATCAATAGACGCCGGCTGGTTTGGGTGAAGGTTAGAGACAATGACCGGCTGAACGCTGTCCATTGTTTGATGACCATTAGCAACGCAATCAGCGTGCGTAGCCTTAAGAATAAAGGAGTAGAATTATGTCCAAGAAAATTTTTGATTACAACTTTAAAAAGCAACCACTTTATATGCCTTGATCAAGTTGTGCATGAACAGTGACCAAATAATATAACAGAAAAATAGCATCGACTTCAACGTTAATGATTCCGCCTCATCAAACAACCACACAAAGTCATGACTATAAGGAACTGAGACATACCCGACAAGGGTTAAGGTTGGGGGGCTGGCAGTGAACAAGCGAGGACCCACATTGCTTGATACCAATAGCAGCGTTTTGATGCAGAATCAAGTTTTCCTGTTCTGAAGCCACACCTAAGTCCTCTTCATCATCATCGTCATATTCTTCTGCATCCAAAGAGGCAGTTGAAGAAAAATGCCGACCCAGCTCAAAACTATTTTGTTTGTTCCCCTTGTAATCCCTTTCCAGCGACGACGACTTAGCGATGCAACTGTCATCAAATTGTTCGTCCAGAGGGCTCATTTTTTCGCCATTAGTAGCCATAACACTTGAGTTCTTGTCCCTTTTCGCTTTGGAGAGGTGTTTAACGCTTAAAAGCATAAACCCTGAGCTGCTCTCTTTGCGTGCAACCTGCATTTGGGGCGATCCTCTGGAAATTGCAGTTACGGGATTAAAGTCTTGTGATCCTCTGTCAAAGTCCGGCGGAAGTTGATCATTATTTGAGTTTGGTTTTGAGGTCATTTCTCCAAAGACTTTGATCCGCAAGTTTGGAAAAAAGCGCAGATACGCAACCGGCACATCTCTGGATACATACTGGACATTAAGAACTACTATATGAAAAATAATTAAAACAAAGGGTGAGCGATTTAAATAATCGCCAAACGCGACCCGAGGCCAACCGATTTCAGAATGTCGCGACGAGAACCATAGCCATCAACCAATAAACTGTCGCTATTCAGTGAGTGGTCAGTAAAGTTAGAGGATTCAGAACAGTTCATTCAAACATTTCATTCAAATAAAAAGCGAATCTCAAAAAAATATATTGAATAGGATATTATTTGTATTTTCTGCGTGTCATTGTTTATTCCCTTACCGATAATACTAATTTTGAAACTTAGGACAGAAGAGTTGCAAACATCCTAAGAAAAAAATATCCCGACATTCAAATTTTAATACCAAAGACTTGGTACAAAATATAGGCTTTCCGTATTGATTTTTTATAATTTATGTGTTCATTTAAGTTTTTTTTATTTAATTAACTTTGGTTTAAGTATAAAGAAAAAAACATGGTTTCTTCGAACCTGAATAAATTCAGAGAGGCGAAGTCATGATTACCTGTCATAAAACGTAAAAAGATCAAAAATAAGCATAAGAGGCAATTGTTTTTCAACGCTAAATACCACTACAGTTCGTAGAGTTCGAAAAGGTCTGTCGATGACTCAGTTATGCTGACAAAAGTTATAAATTTATGCTCGTTATGGATGCAGATTTTTGAAGTAAGTTATGATTTCATATGCATTTTAAACCATGTTTTTTTGCTGATTAAATTTACCTAAGTGATTTAATCTCCTCTTTTAGCGTGTTTCGTACTGAAAAGCAAATTCAAAACTCGGTTACATTTTTAGACTAGTTGCTGAACTAAACTACAAAATTAGTTATCTACAAGCAAAAATTTTTCATAAAAACCTGCTTTTGTCAAAATCATTCACAGAGGAACCCATTTAAATGCAATCATATATCCAAAACCCCTCTGTCTTGGGGAAAATCCGCTCATTTCTGAACATTGAAAATTATAAAATGCCAAATGGTTTTTCATCTATGCAATACAAATGCACTTTAGCAATTTTAAAATAATAATTATGATTTAATGGTAAGTGAAATAAAAACGCGGTCTTAAATATAGTCATTATGTGGTAAGAGGAGGCATTCAAAGCTACAGCATTCGCCTGCACTTAAATTTAAAAACAAGATCAAATTATGCAGTGAAACACAGCAATTTTACCTATAGTTGCACAACTCTTAATCTTCCAACATCCTCTGTAATTAAGTTTATACCCAAATTATGATTTCTTTTTCCTGTAATTGTTTAAGATAATTCACATTAATATGACAAATAAGAGAACCTAAATTTATTCTTACATACAAAATATATGACCAAAAAATTATGCCTACTACACACTGTGCACATATTAGGCTGTTTTAAACATGGATTTTTTAGTTATTTACTTAGCATAAACTAGACATGAGATTAGTTTTAACAAAATCAAATTAAAAAAAGAAATATACAACTAATATATAAAAAACACGTTTGTATTAAAGATGCACGAAACTGCCATTCGAGTCAGATATCTAAGTTCTGCACTTGTATTACATTTCGTTTTAAATCGTTCTTTTATTTATCGCGCATTTTCTGAGTGGAGGTGTGGTTTGCTGTGACTTTCGGTCCATTCCATCATGGAGTCAGTTGAACTGGATTTTGACACGGCTATAAGAGAAGTTTTGAAAAACGCTATTGCCGCTGACGGGATTGTTCGCGGCCTCCATGAATGCACCAAGGCTATAGAGCAACACAAAGCAATTGTTTGTTTCTTAGCCGAGAGTTGCGATGAGGTCGCCTATACTGACCTCGTCGAGGCCCTTTGCCGTAACCATGAGATCCCACTTATTAAAGTATGAGTTAAATGCCCTCAACTTGCTATGTAGGTTGCTGATGGTAAAAATCTTGGTGAAATGGGTGGTCTGTGCAAACTGGACCGAAAAGGTTGCCCTCGAAAGGTTGTTTCTGCATCCTGTATCGTCGTAAAGGACATCGGCGAAGAAAGTCGTGGATGGAAATACCTTGTCGAAAAGCACAAGATCCCTGTTGCCGCTCGTTGAAGTTGTTTTGCGAAGTGTTGTATAAATTCGTCGTAACAGGTTGTTTCTTTTTTGGTTCTGTCATAAGCAGCTAAACTCCAAATAAGTCTAGAGTAAATTAAGTCCCGTTCCCAAATATTAATTTCGTTGGTTTCCCAACATGAAATCGGATGATTCCCGATCCAAGCCTTGTATCTCGTCATGATTCTTGGGTGTACTTGCGATCCTACCTGGCGCATCTGAATTTTCTATCTATAATGTTGCAGATGTGGTGCGATTGCTTGGTCCCAACATATTGTGTGTCCGAAGTGTACAGGTTCGGGATCTTTTGAATTGGTGTTTTGTTGGAATATTGATCTACTGTCGTGTTGATGGCGCCTTTGAATTTGGGATTCGGCTTGACCTTCTCCGAAATTAAACTGAAGGATATGTGTATCTTTTATCGCTTCCTTTTTGGCATGTCCTTTCTCAATAGTTAAGAAGATTTGCCTCTCGATTTACGCCTGTTCAATTTGTGGACGACTGAAAATGTTTCCATGATTTTATTCACGGGAATTACATGCCTCTTGGGTACGCATATAAAATCGTTTAATGTTTTTGGAATCACTGGCCTAATGGTAATTTTGAATGTATGAGTGGAAGCCAACTGCATGCATCCGTTTAGAATGTAGCGGATCAATTTACATATGCTTTTGTCCAAAATCCCATAAATTGATATGAATACTTACATTTTGGGGTCAAATAAGTCAATCAAGTGGTCTGTGTGAACGGTTTTACCTTGTTTCGAGCCTGGCTGAATTAGTCGACGTTTTCTTCCTCTTTAATGGCCCAGACACCGAGGTTTTTTTTCTGGTGTATGCTTTATTTTCAGATCCAAGGTTATTTGAAATCCTTGGTTTATTGTTTGTATCTTCGCGTTTACGTCTTTATTTTGTGGAATCTTGCCACATTCAAGTATTCATTTGCCTCTGCAATCTCACAGGAATATACATTTAACACGACTGCCATTTTTAGGAAACCAGGCCAGTGATTAATATCTTCTATCGATTTTTATGTCAGTCTAGAATAAATCATAGCTTATAGTATAAACAATGCGAATATTGTGGTCCCAAGAGCCTGTCCATCGACCTTGCATGGTATTGTCGGCGTGTGCTTGCATCTCCCCGCTCATCATATAGTCTTCTGTCGCGATGATCATATTTTCAAAGACTTCTGTGTATTTAAGAGAGCCAAGCGTATACCAAACTACCCGATTGGAAAATTATATTAGGAGTTGCTAAATTCGGCGCCTACATCATTGTACTGCCTCTTCTCGAGAACATTGTCAGTTGTAGTAACCTGCTGATAACGCGGGGTAAACTCTTGCGGTGAATCGTCCTCGGCTCCTCGTGTAATAGTTGTTCATTGGGTGGATTTTTAGCTTGCGCTACCATCGGCGTTAGTTTTGCGATTAAAAAACCGCATAATGCCGAATTCCTTATTCTAATTGTACTTCTGAACCGTTACATTAACCACTAATCGCAACGTGAGCAAAATCTGCTTGTCACTTCGCCATTTCAGTTACGATGGTCAAGTTTCTGAAACATGGCGTTAGTCTCCTCGAAGCCTAAGTAGCATCGTGGGATGCAACCTACTGTGGCAGCTCAGCTCTATTTTGTAACCTAGTTAATAGCCCTTAAAAACCCGAAAACAACGGCAGGACGGGCGACAGTGTACATGACTGTTTATTAGCTTAGTTAGCCGAGTGTCTCCGTGCAGGTGAGCTTGCGTGCATGGTATTGGTCATTTTAGTCAATAATCCAGTAGGTAAGCTTCGCTCATGTGTAACTATTGACAATCCACTACACCGTTTAGAAAGTTGCCTCTGTGATGCCCAGGAAATTTGATGTAAAAATCTGAAAATTCTGGAAACAGGTCTGTGGTATTTAAACTATATAAGCGTCCATTGATACACGTGGAGCTTGAGATCAGCTCGATTGGAAAGTGTTGAAATTGGGCCTTAAAAATAGTTGTGGCGCTTCGATCTCTGTACATGATGTGATGAGTCTAAATTAGACTATTGCAGATATCAGAAAGACTTCAAGGATCAAAGCAGCTAGTCGCCAGTGGGCAATTCAATCAGAAGTCTAGGAAATAAAGGAACAAATGTGTAACTGCGCGTAACATATTATCAGGAGCAGATTTTGCACTTGCGTAGTGCAACTTTCAGGATACTTTCGCAGCCTTTCCTGTCATAAAATGACATCGGTAAGCGGAATTGTCTTGCAAAAGGTGGTTCTGAGGGCTTAAAAGTCTCCTCGGTTCTTGGAACTCCATCTTAGTTAGATGTTCATTTTGTAGGTGGTGTAACCATATCAATGTCTGTTACACAACTGTTGATCGTTTTTTAACGAAACGCAGTGCAATTTTACTAGAGCAAGAACGGCGTAACTGGATGATTCATAACCTAATGGGATGTAAAATCCACACCAGAACCAAAAAAGTTGCCTGAAGCAAGTACGGGATTGCATTTAGTTTTAAGATCAAAAGGGATTATAGAGGGTACTTAACTTGACTGAAAATGATTAGGCAAGCCCTCCTTCCAAGACTACGTCAACTCAGCGGATGCTTTCATTAGTTCAGAACTTGAAAGCGTGACGCGAACTTTGAAATACCACTTAACTTGGTGCACTTATACATCACTTCATAACGACTAACTAATATTACTCGTCGCCATATCGTTGATGTGCACCAGCAGTCATAACCACATATTGAAACAGTGTTGGAAACTTGTAAAAAACCAGTTACACAAACAGGTGACTAAGCCTGGATTTTGAGTTCGTTTTTTTACGAACGGACATAACGTTTGTGTTTTTTAAGAGGCATTCACAAAGTGTATGCTGCCATTTTGCCAAAGAAGCCTGGAACAACTGTTTGGTGTAACACGGATTAGAGGAGAATGAGAGTGCACCTAGTAAACACAGCACGACTCATAAGGATGGTGATGAGAATTTGCTTTAGCTGGCTCTTCAACTGTCAGCACAGTCACTTTAACAGTACATTTACGATTCTATGTCCAGAAATCGATATATAGTAAACTTGGTTCAAACGATTCCTTCAAGTAGGGGGTTCAGTATAAGCCCAACCCCCTTTTATGAGAAAAAAGGGGAAAGGAACTACATGGGCCAATGTGCTAGTAGAGACTTTTGTGAGGTAGCCCGTTATTAAATGACTAGTTCCACGACAGCTGACATTCCACATGAGCTGAATAATGACAGGTTGAATGAGGGGCCGTCTTGATCGTCTTTATTGTCAGTCTGGAAGCTGAAGGAAAACAGACATACAGGAAAGAAAAGAAAGCATACCTGTAAAAGCAGGGAAAGTGATTTGACGCAAATTTACAAAAAAAAGATAAATGCGGTAGTACGAAACGGACAAATGCAGCGGCAAGGTGACCTTCAGAAAAGCCCCCTTCTTTTCTTCTCTGTCTTGCTCCGCTCTCTTATGACCTCTGAGAGCACGCGCTCACCAAGTCCGACTAGTCCGCCACTGCCACCGAGATCAGCCCCAATGTCCCATTCGCGCCAGGCCTCCTCCCACCTGGCCTTCTGTTCCTCAAAAGCACGCCGGTCAGCCTCGTAAGCGGCTTCCTCCTGCCGCAACTGATCGCGCATCTGCTCGGCTCGGTGCGATAGATCGTCGTCGAATTCCTTGAGCTTTTGGCTTTTTTCAGCGACCTGAGCGGGGAAAATGGAGACAATAAACTGGACAGTGTAAACAAAAAAATACTTTGGATCGCATTTTGATTTAGATTACTGTCAAAAGAACAAGTTTAACGGAATATCGCTGTGATTCAAGCAAACCCATTTCATTAAAGTGGACGTGGTAAAAAATAGTCAAGCGTAAACTGGGAAAACAAAACAGGCCGTTAAAATAAAATGGGCATGAAAGGTGTTAATTCTGATGGTCTAGTAATTTAGTACACGTCAACGGTCTCAATTTTTAAGGTATTATGGCCCCATTGACGAGAGAAATAGCAGCGAGAACATGCCAAGCGTGTGCAAAATTAGATTCAGATAAGCAACGCTTTTGAATAAATACGGGAACCAAACAACCTTTTGTGCAAAGACGGACTCCATATCAGCCTCCATTTTGCGTAATTTTTGTTCATGTTCTCTCTTCTCAGCGTCCATCAGCATCATGGGATCCTGACCGTTATGGGTTTTGAAGTTGCTGTCCTGAGCAATGCTTGACAATTTAGTCGAACGATAGTTCTCGTAGTGACGACGATGTGTAACTTCACGAAGATTCTGAAAGTTAAATTACTAGCTGAAAATTGATTGACACCGACGCCCATGTTTTATACACGGCCTACCAAGCAACCGGTAAAGAAACGACGTGTGCATCTCTAAAGCAATGATGCATACGCGAAAGCACTTGAGCCACCAGGACAAGTCTGTGTTCACCACAAATTCTAATACTCTAGGCGTGTTGATTGGAGCAAAGAGGCAAAACATGATGAACCAATTTTTGTTAATGTCTGTGTTGACATAAAACCCACAGTTATATACTAATTCAGTGATTAAGTTCTTGAAATTAATTTTTGCATATCTGTAGAAGGGTGATAGTACGATTTCGGGTAGGCTTCGGAGCGTTTAAGAGCAATGTAGGGGTCTGAAATTGAACATAAATGAGTCTCTAGAAGGCGCCAGACAAATGTGGAATCCCGCACTTCCAAATGCGAACCAGCTTCTTTAATTTTACTCAATAAGTCCAACACTTTCAGTCTTATTCACTTCCATAAAACAACACTCTAAGCGATACATGTAGAATAACTGGTTTAAACATTTAATGCCATGTATTCCTAGGTCGCAAGTACCTCGCTGAACACTTCACTTGAATAACCGAGCGAGGAAACCTCAGTATCGTGTCGGCTTACGTGTACATCCACAGACCAAGGACAATAATTGAGGAACAAAACGAGCGAGGGAGCACACCCAGCTCAAGCATGTTGCTGATATTCAGGGGGCACTTATAAAATATTGCGATACTCTAATCATCCATGTATAGAAGGGACCCAAATCCAAAACTCTGATACCATTATGCTTGTTAGCTTTAAAAATACTGAAGTGTAAAAAAGTTCGTCAATAAACAAATATTCGTTGTTGCGGGAAATATCCCACAACAAAGACCAACTTTTAGCCTACCTGCATTTGTAACTGAATGAGGTAGTAGCTCAAAATAGCGAAGTCATTGTGTTCCACATTGTCAACCTCTACAGTACCCCACGGATAAGTGCGGGCTCTAACCCGATTCCCTGCACTGTTAGTAATGCAAGTGTTGGAACCAACTACGGCAAATGGAATCCGTCCACGTAAATTCCGCATCCGACTGCGTTCCGGGTCGGATTTCAAATCGTCTATGGGAAGAAATATGGGCAACTAATAAACTGATAAAATTAGACGGCCTGTGCATTAAAGTCATCCTACTTACCATTACTTTTATCACCCTCCATGAAGTCATATATTTTGATCTGGTGACGTTGAAGATCAGCTAAAATGTTTTTCTTGAATTCATTGCACTCTTCTGAAGTTAGGCAGTCAGCCTTTCCGATAATTGGAATGACATTCACTTTGTCTTGGATGTGTTTGAGGCACTCAATGTCCAAACTTTTTAGTCGATGCCCTGTAAATGAAAAAATAGAGATAAATAACTGAGAAGGATTGATAAAGGATCAGACAGAGCAGTGTTTACCTGTTGGTGCAAGGAAATAAAGGCATGCATGAACACGAGTATCGATTATCTTGGAATTCCGAGTAATTCTCCCTTCCGCGGCCATATAATTGTCAAATTGGGCATCAATATAGTCAACAATTGGTTTCCAGCACTCAGAATTGTCGACGCACTCACCGAAACCGGGTGTGTCAATAACTGACAATCGAAGAGACACGCCATCCTCCTATAGCACTATATGAATTTCATCGAAAAAAACAAACCTGAAGGAAAACAGTTGTCGAACGCACTTCAACTGAGTTAACCACCCGTGCTGAAGGTCCCGGATAATCATTACCGTAAATATCGGTTAAGAACAAAGTATTAACAAATGTCGATTTCCCAAGACCAGTCTCCCCAATGATCATTAAATTGAAATCAAAACCTTGGCGGACTGCACGCCTGAAGGCCTTCAGCAAATAAATAAGGGAAATGAAATTACATGATTTGGGATATTTGAATATCCAACATAAGAATCAGGAATCGCAGAGACGAGACAATTTTTTAAGCCATTGGGTATATTTTCTTGATCGGTCTTGGAATTTTTTTCAGCAAGACTGTCCTTAGCCAGTTGTTTAGTTGAATCGAGTGATGTGTTATTTTCTTTTCCAAAGAAATTACCACGACGCGTTGCAGCGGACGACATCACACACCTCAAATTTGAAACAAAGAGAGTCAACGTTTATAACTGCCACCAGAAATGGTAGCCAATCACTGCTGGACTTATCAACCTAGTAAGGTGTCGCATTAGCTCATATAAAATTGGGAGAAAGGACCAATTAATCAATCAAGATTACTTAAACCTTAGTTTTTTGGCATTTAATAGAAACTTACCTTTAGTAAGGTCTGAAATCTTATACATTTATCCTACACTTTTAATCTGCGTATCAGGTTGAGAAAGCTCGTGTTTTGAGAAGTGTCGGTCTGTTCAATTTTGTGTGCATGTGCTGACTCAATTGTAGCAATGGTTTTGCCGTCTTCATCCATCGTCCATTCAATACCAGTTAATTTAGATGCTGATGGGATAAATCTGCAGCTACCAAAGGATTTCATTTCAGCGGGGTACGGTTTTCTGTTCACCATGTATCTAACGAGAAGTGGCAGCGCAGCTATTAACTATCTTCCCGTTGGAATTTAGACAACTAAGGTCTTTACGTTAATTGTGCTTAATTTCGTTCACCCAATATTGATTTGTGTTGTGTGAATTCACACTTTCCAAGCCTTCATGTTTTTAATCTGGCATTTTATGTTTTAGCTGGTTTCTTGACTTATGTCCTCTTTCTCTTTCCCTCTAATATAATTTTTTTTATTAAAGCCAATGTATCATAGGGAGTATTTTCTATGGGTGCATAGAGTCTTTTTAACTTTGATATTTTTACATTGTTGGGGAACTGTTGCCCTCTTAGCGTTAATATCTCGATTGTTTGAGAATAATCCTAAACAGCATTGGTCCTATCGTTATTTATTATCGTATTCTTGGTAAACATTCGAAACCACAAGCTAAAGAAAACTGGCTTAAGTTGTGTGTTGGCAAATCGTACTTCTGCGACTACGTATTACGTACTTGGCGTTCCGTGCACTTTTTAGCCTTCAAGGCGGTATTTTCGTCTAATCTTAAACGCAACAAGCCCGTTTGCCAAACGATTTTTGTTAGTTTGCCCCAGTTGACGCATATTTAACTTTCTAATTTCATATTTCTCAGCTGTGTAATGTTGTGTGGCTTAAGTGACCCACATCTGGAATCCCTTTGCTAGGACCGTCTCTTTCATTTCACAAAATTTCGTCATATATTAGCTACCTTATGCTTAGAAAATCTGAAAATTCTATTTAGTCATGACTTTTTAATTTTTTAGTCAATTAAATGATCATGCCGAAAATGTGTACACAGCACACCTTCGTGGTAGAAAACTTCAGGGTAGAACCTTCCAGATGCCAGCCGGTGCTGAAGCCAACATCTTTCTGTGTGAGGGAGGACATAATTTGGACGAAGAAGCAGGGAATCTGAGGTTCACTGGAGGGTCAGTGGAAAAATTAGTTATTTGGGACACCTCTGCGCCCAGTGGTACCTATGAAAAGCTACAGGCAGCCTTACTTTGGGCGAAATTAAACGCCGCTCTTTCATGACTCTTCCATTGTACAGCAAGCTATTTATTCGACTAAATGCAGATATTCGAATGCTTGAACTTTTTTCGCAGTGTTTTTTTCCGTAACTTTGGCACCAAACCTAATTTTTTTGGCCTTCTGGTGTTTTCTGCGGATTTCGGTGCTAATAGTAATGGTTACCAAATCCTCGCTAGCCTTTCTAAGCCTGTCTGCGACTACTTCGTTTATCATCCACTCGACTATTTTCGTAAATGGGGGATTCATTGTGGAGTGATTCCTCATTTTCTGCAACATATTCCCATTTTTTCTCGTCTAAATTGACTCGCTTTCTGAAGATTACAGTCTAATCACCACACTACAGACTAGCAGGTATCAATAAGCTCTGATATAATTCAAGTGGAATGTGTGATATTGTGTTGCACTACCTAGTATCTGCGAGGTTAATTCTAACAGTGCCCGAGAACACAGGCGATGATGGGCGCAATTTTTAACCAGTAGGCAAGAGAAGCGCGTTTAATGTTTTTTAAGATTGAGGTAAGTTATAGAAATTAGCATCCGATTATCTGCACTCTTTTTCCGTGGTCAATGATTAATTTTTGCTAAGTTTTTCCTTCGCCATGGGAACTGATTGCTTACACTACTAGACGACCCGTGATTTTCGACATCCCGAACATGAGAAAACGTTCTTAGATTTCCCGCGAACGAGGATTAAATGGTTCCTGGCCATTCTTAAAAGTGATCATGTAGCTACCAAGGGACAGCCTAGTGAACCTCCAGAAATTATTTCAAGTGGCTGCAGACACGGAGTTCCTGCGTGGAATCCTCCTGTATTCTGAGTTGTCAGTTTAGGAAAAATATGTCCCCAATATAATTAATATCCCTTTTCTTCCTTTAAGTATTGCGCAGGATCGAATTATGCTAATTTTGATTAAGGCTAGTTCATTTCATTTGGTTAGATGGGAATCTTACAGAGCCGTTGGCCCCAAAAATATCTAGAACCGCTTACGATTACTAATAAGCAAAGGGAAGGCAGTATGACACAGAGGAAGCACATGCAACCTAAACCCCTAGTTTGAGTAGGGACCAATCCGGGTGCTTTAATGCAGGCAGGTATGTTGTTTGCGACAAAAGTGTCTCCTTTTTCTCGAAATTATGGATTTTAAAGTATGCGTCTCCACACACCTCTTGGAAACTAAGTTAATCATTTGACGGAAATCCGAGAATGACAATGCTTTTTCATTTTGCCTTTAGTCGTAAATATCTTTAAATGCAGCCTTTATTGATCTACACTTCTAAATCAGTTTATTTCTCATTTAAATGTAAAGAGCTTATTTAGCCCACATGCTCTAGATATGAATAGGTACAAGTGACCACCTTGACTTAGGTGGAGATTCCGTCCAAATTTTGAAAAAAAGTACATTAGATTGGGAATGTAACCGGATAATGATTTAGAGGTAACGATTTTTGAGGTCTGAAACAGAAGTTTGTGAACACAATCAGAGTGGGATGAACTAGTGAAACACTAAATCTTCGACAAAGTAGAAATGGTTTTGGGTTCGGTTCGAAATTACTGGTTTTGACAGCAATTTCTGTGCAGCATATTTACCGCTAAAATATGGATGCAAATAAATGCTTTTCGTTTGGTCAAGTGACCTTTATACCCCGGAGAAAAGGTGTTAATTTCATTTATTTACACTAAGTTACATTAAGAGCTAATACAGCGGGCATGGCGTCGTTTTCGTCACCAGCGTCGTCGGACCCGAGCTCAGAAAGGTGCTCCAGGCATTCCTGAATGACTTCTCGGGTTTTTTGGGCGTCAATTTCTTCTTCAAGGTCCTTAAGACACCATTCGTCTGGCTTCGAATTTGACTCCATCTTATCTTAAAAGATATTAAAAATGGCTATGGAACTTTTCTGTCATAAACTGTTGACGAACGTTGTCCAGGAGAGCACCTGAATTCCGAAGACAGACACCCAATTCAGCCTTGTATATTTTGCGCCATTGAATGACGTTTAACGAACTCTTGCGATTGGGAAATCAGAGCAGAAATGTGATGGTGGGTGTGATACCATCCAAAAATGACCTAATTTACTTAGTGATAGTATATGTAATAGCCTAGTGTAAGAATGGTTCTTCGAGACGCTGGAAGGTCTTCAAAAGAACAATCTCTTACATGGAATTCGGTTACCGGCTTTGACCAGCCGTCAGGCAAAACCTCTTTTGTCGTCACCAGTCAGCGCAAATATTCACAACATTTTGTTTTTTTTTTGGATTCTCTTACTTCAGCAACTTTGAGAAAAACACGTTAAAAGGTCTTAGCAATATCGGAACTTAATTTCAACTGCCTGTCGTAGCTGTGAGCTATTCTTGTAATTTGCTAGCTAAATTTAGTCGGAAGTTGGCTCTGGCGACTGAGCAGGAATTAACTTTTTTAGCAAGCCATTTTAACCCATTCATTTGAATTAATGATGCCTTAAAAACTGATTAAAGGTACTAATTTCAAAACTCAACTTCAAATGGTAACCAGAGTCCCAACAAACATTAAATAGGATTTCAGAAACGTGTTAGAAAATTTTATGAGAAGGATTTAGGATGATGCAACATAACAAATCTCGAATTTGGGAACCAGAAGCGAGATCTCATTCAAAAGACATCGTGACCATGAAGTAATTGTATTAAGTTGGAGCAATGTGGATGCACCAATCATTGTTATGCTTACCTTGTAATGAATCCGACTGGGTTGTCTGCATACCTTTTTCTTCGACTAAACTAAAAAGAAATTATTCACAAAAACAGGATATCAGGCCACTGTTCGGATCACTGCTTCTGACCTTCGTACAATATGCCAACAAACGCAAGTATTACACATTAATTTTTTTATGGGCTGGGCAAATTTAGAAAAAAAATGCTTTAACCATTAAATATTCAATTTACATTTGGTGCTTAAGACCAACGCTGATGAATAGGTCCTGTGTAAATGGTCTCGCTATTCAAACACAATATTATGGAAAAGGGTTTCTGTAGCCAAGATGTTCCTGAACGCCCGTAATTTATTTAATTGATTGATTATTGAGAGTAAATTTCTAATATAACAGATTAATGCAAATTCTATGCAGCAATTAACTTTAT